TGCTCCCAAATTTTTTTTTGGTTTTTCCCCCCCCCCCCCCCCACTTGAAAGGGTGTAAAGATGGTACTGGTCCGATTCAATATCATTGAGCTTTTGATTAGACTTGGAGTCCTCCCACAATGTGCCAAGTTTTGATTTGACTTTGAAGTCAAGCACATTTGTTTTTCTGTAAATGTTTTCTTGGTGGGGGGGGGGGTTGCAAAAACTCATTTGACATTTTGAAGAAAAAAAAAATTCTTTCTTTCTAATGGTGTGGGCATCCTGTCTTGTTCTGTACAAAGTGTGTAAGCAAATGTGCTTTATTCTTTGGTTTGTTGTGTTTTTGTTTTCCTATTGTTTCCTATGTTTTTGAGGACAATTATCAATTTCCAGTTGTATTGTGGAGTACCTGGAGAGAGGCCTATTGATGTCAGTCTGGTGCCATCTTCATGCATCTATGCCATTAGCTTTGTTTGATAGTCTTTTTTTGTTTTTTTGTTCTTTTTTTTCTTGCCCAAAACATCCCACTGTCTATGGAATTTATTGTACTTAGAAATATGTGACTCTGGACAACAAAACCAGTCATAAGTGTCTTTATTTATTTTTTTTTCGAAATTGAGATTTATACATCTGAAAGCTGAAAAAGTAAGCTTTCCGTTGATGTATGGTTTGTTAGAATAGGACAATATTTGGCCGAGATACAAATATTTGAAAATGTGGAATCTGAGGGTGCAAAAAAAATCTAAATATTGGAAAAAATTGCCTTTAAAGTAGTCCAAATTAAGTTCTTAGCAAGGCATATTACTAATCAAAAATTAAGTTTTAATATATTTACAGTAGGAAATTTACAAAATATCTTCATGGAACATGATCTTTATTTAATGTCCTAATGATTTTTGGCATAAAAGAAAAATCAATAATTTTGACCCTTACAATGTCTTTTTGGCTATTGCTACAAATATACCCCAGCAACTTAAGACTGCTCTTGTGGTCCAGGGTCACATATGATGTATAGTTATAATGTTGAATGTTCGTTGTATTTTTTTTACTTAAACTTTTATAAATGCCTACTAATGTTTTTGTTTTTATTTTTAAGGAGGTGAAGGAAGGTATTTGTTTTTTTTCCTAGAAACTATTTTATGAAGACTGTTTTTGATGTTTGGATTAGTTTTCTGTATCCTAACCGTTTTCTTGCCTGATGTCAAACTTTGTTTTTGAAGAACATGTAACTATTTTGTTTTACAATTGTCATTCACAAGAACAGCTTGCATTAGTTTCTTTTGTGCAGAGAGAATAGTCTGCAGGATGTGGACGAACGTTTGTTATTTTTATTTTGTTTGTTTTCCCTTTTGTTTTCTCTAGGCCACAGTTTAGGGTACGGATTTGTTAACTATGTTAACCCTAATGATGCAGAAAGGGCAATCAATACACTCAATGGCCTGAGACTACAGTCTAAAACTATCAAGGTAACGTGCAAAGAGGTGTTTTTGTATCCATGTGTTAAATTATAGATGCCATATTGGTAAACGAGACTCAAAGCAGTTAGGACAGCGTTCCAGTCCTGCCTGCTTTCTGTAAGGAATGAACAACTTCATGAGTTTCAACAATTGTTCAATTTTTTTTTTGTCTTTTTTACTTTTGTATGATTTTCTTTTTTGTGACATTTGATGTCTCAAGATTTTTGCTCTTATAATCTGTATGACTGGCTGTCTTTGACCAAGCATGGTTTAATTTCGGTACAGAATTATACTGAAGTCAGTGACATTTTTATTTTGGAGTTCCTTTTAAGATCAAAATATGCTATTTTCATTTCTTCTGCGTGGTTGTGGTGTAAAAACGGAGGGGTGAATGTTAGTCATTTGCTTGAGTATGAAATTGTGCCGAACAGAAGCCCTGCGCTGAAGTCCCAGACATTTTTTTATTTTCTTTGTTTTTTTTTGTTGTTTTTGTTTTTTACTTTTGAGCATTGTAGTTTTAATTCAAATTGAAAGTTGACCGTTTTTGTTGTAGATATAGACTATAAAACGGTTTTATACCTATATGAAGTACACAATATCATTGTAGTGTTTTTGTTTGGGTTTTATTTTTGTTGGGGTTGTTTTTAATTTTATTTCATATGTGAAACTCAGATGTGAGGTTATGCTTTGTCTACACAATGGAACTATATTGTTTCATCAGTAATGGGGGCAAACACGATGGCTTAATAATTTTGTTTAATAAGGTCTTAATGAAGTGGTTTTAAATGCAATTTTTTTCCATTAAATTAGGTGTCATATGCCAGGCCGAGCTCTGACAGCATCAAAGATGCCAACCTGTACATCAGTGGTTTACCCAAGACCATGGCACAGAAGGATGTAGAGGACATGTTTACCCAGTACGGGCATATCATAAACTCCCGCATACTGGTCGATCAGGCCTCGGGTAATAATTCTGTCCTGCACACTGCAATTTTCCATCTTGAATGTATTCTGGGTCTCAACTCATTTTTGGGGGGCTTTCTTACCTGTTAGGTCTGTCTCGTGGAGTTGCATTCATCCGTTTCGATAAGAGGTCTGAAGCGGAGGAAGCCATCAAGGATCTTAATGGATCCAAACCAGCTGGTGCCTCTGAACCAATCACAGTGAAGTTTGCTGCCAGTCCAAACCAGACCAAGAATTCCCAGCTGATCTCTCAGCTGTACCCCACTCAATCCCGTCGGTTTGGAGGACCTGTTCATCACCAGGCGCAGCGCTTCAGGTGAGAAAGCCAAATATGCTTCCTGTAGTTTTAATGTTGTCCATTAATCAGTATGTTGTAGTTGTTGCATCTAGGGGTGTGTGGATTAAATGTAAAAATTTGACTCAAAAGATAATGGACACTTTTAGAAAAAATGGCTTTATAAAGGTTAAAATGCAAAAATCAGTTTAAACTTATTGGAAAAGATTAATTTCTATCAGTATGAACTGACCACCACACAGAATATGAAGAATATTAAAAACATTAGGAGTCAGCTGTCTTCGGCAGTCCTTAAGGTACCAGCACAATAACACACAGCAAAATATCGTCTAATTATCGTTATCGATAAAATCCCATGAAATATCGAGATATCATTTTTTGTCAATATCGCACACCCCTAGTTGCATCAGATTCTTCACTGCTTGTAAGAGAAGTGTAATACGTTTCGTCAATTATTGTTCTCGCACAGCACAAATCAAGACTACGTCAACTCGCATGGTTTGCTCTCAGATGTAGTTGCAGCAAATAATCTCTGGCATGCAGCATTTGGCTGCGGAAAAAAATTGTCCTACATTTAAAAAAAAAATAAATAAATATCTTGTTGATTGACATCACTTTCGAGTCCATGACTTCGCCTACCAATGGTATGAGAGGAGCACAGCTTTCACTCTCAACCAAACTAACATTACTAGCCAATAAGAATGTTTTGCTCTTATAAACATGAGACGCGCATAATAGTATCCAATTGCGGAGTCGCAGCCCTGATGAACGGAGAAGCGCGACAAAAAGCTGCGAGGCGCAATGGTCAAAGATGTCCATCTAGCGCATATTTACATAGAATAACTCATTAAAAACAGCGGAGCTTTGTAAACATCTCAGAGTAATCATGTCATCTCCATAAAACGATATGATTGCCAGAACAAATTTACCGGGATTTTTGAAGAAAAAAAACACATGATCTATTAATGGTAACTTACTGGTAATTTATCAGTACTGTATGTGTGAAAGGGGCTAAACTCTTCCTCTGCATATGCCGTGAATTTGAATTAACGTTCATCTGGAAAAACAGTGTGCATTATCTCACTAGATTTGTAACATAACTCATGTATAAACCTTTGCCAACACAGGAGAATATATCAACCTATGTCTAAATATGCCATGTATTGTACATCACGATTTCAAAATAAACGTTTCTGCATGTGGCCAAATATTAAAATTAAATGGATTTAAACATCTTTTAATCGCGCTGTAAACTAAAGTGAAACGTCACCAGGCCGTTGGCGCCCTCTGCAGGTATTTGTTATAATACATAGTGTACTTAAGTTGGTTATGTTCATATTATGTTTAGGCACATTACATTATGTATTTTAACAGTGTTGTTCAATACAATCATGTAATTTCTTGGTTTTGATATTTTATTTGGGCCAATTATTATTGCCTCATCGTTAGTTTATATATAAATAGTCATACTAAAGCCTGGTTTTCACTTGGGTCTGTTTGTTACTAAAAAATATCAGATTACTCGGTTGTCAAAATAATCAGTAGATTACTTGATTACCAAAATAATCATTAGTTACAGCCCTAGATTAGTTAAAATATTTCTAAATACGACTGCATTGTTTTACTTTTTGTAATTAAAAGACAAATATTTTGTCATTGAAATTCTGTGAAATTCAGTGAAATTTGTCATTGTGATTTCTTTAAAATGGTATTAAAATATTGTCTCGTTCTAGTGAACCAAGTATCTGTATTTTGTCTCATCTCGTGGTTTATTGTCACACCCCTAGTGTCGATAAGCGGTGATATAGCTCATGATTTTCCAAGTGTATGGTATAGCTTTCATTCTTCAGGTCAACCGTATATTCATGAAAAAAAATATCAGTTTGAGTAAGGAAAGCAATAACTTTGCCATAGTATCATTTCAAATGTTAAAGTTGCCACAGTCATTGCATGCTTTGCATGTGCTCCACCGCCCCTGGGAAAAAGTTAAGGCTCAGGATTTTTTTTTTTTTTTGGCTTTAACCCCTGGTTATAGAAATGAAGGTGACTTGACTGATTGATCTCTTGCTCTGGCAGGTTTTCACCCATGAGTGTTGACCACATGAGCGGCGCCTCCGGGGTGAACGTGTCCGGCAGCTCTTCCTCTGGATGGTGTATCTTCATCTACAACTTGGGTCAGGATGCCGACGAAGGCTTCCTGTGGCAGATGTTTGGTCCGTTCGGTGCTGTCACCAATGTCAAGGTCATCCGTGACTTTAACACCAACAAATGCAAAGGGTTTGGGTTTGTTACCATGACCAATTACGAAGAGGCCGCAATGGCCATCGCCAGCCTGAATGGATACCGCATGGGAGACAGAGTCCTGCAAGTGTCGTTCAAAACCAGCAAGTCTCACAAGTAAAGGGACACTTTTTTTTT